AAGACTCACTGATAATGCCGACTTTGATGTAGACGAAACGTCTAAGAATGTACCAAGTCCATGAATTATGACAACTATTATGGCAGAGGACTTCGGATAAGGTGCGTTCTACTAAGTCACCCTGACAACAAGACCAGGTTGCAAAAACGAGGTTAACAAACATCACACAACGTTTGACTAAATCTTCTTTGCCAGGTCATAATATCACATTTCTCGATGTCCATTCTCTATGATGATTCATTCTGTAAACCAAATAATTCAGCTCGATCCTGAGCAATGACTCGTCCTTTCAAATTACTTGTTCATTTCCATCCTTCCTTTGGTATTAATTTTATTTACTCAATACCTCTCCAATTTGAAATTAATTAAGCACCATTTATAGCAAGGATACTTACTACAAATGGAGTGTGGTAAAAGATTAATCTATATAAAATCGCGATTTTAGACAGTTTTTGTGCGCCTCCACTTTCCTCACTTATGATCCACAATTCACCCACAATTATCTCGGAATTATGTCACCTTAGGGACAATGATTGCTTAGTACAACTAGCTTACACTACAAGAACCAGTAAGTCCGCTCATCTATGTCATGGCAACAAACTGATACTTTCAGCTAACTATGCAAACGTGCCGCTTCAAATCAGCTTAGATTTCTAATTAATTCCTTCCATCTTATTGACAACAAATTTAAAAGTTTCAACTAACTGTAATTAGGAGCTTTTTGACCTTGTTTTCGCTACTTCGTCATATTGGAAGGAAGGCCTAGAGGAACGAACCTTGTCCGGAGTCCATAGTATGCAGGATAATTTCCATAGTCGAACCATGGACTTAGTACATTCCCAGTCGTTTACCAGCATCGTCAGTGAGCGTTGTAATTCTTAGCACCACACTACAACTCGTCAAAGAGACAAGTGAAGTCGATCCTTTGACCAATTGTGTGCTAGACGGTTGTGGTTTCTTCCCTTCTGTCCTGGTCTATTCATCTATCCTATATCCTCGTATGACCCCTCTAATATCACAATTTCTCACCTGTTTATCTAAACCTATTTGAAACCTATTAACACTCATCGCTTGTTTCCACATCCCTCCCACTGTGCCTGGAGTGTTGTTCCAAGGCTGCGGTTTAATCTGCAATCCTCTCTCTTCGGGTCATATCAGGGTTCCCCTCTTACTATATATGATTTTTCCCTTATCTGTCTGTTTCAGTGATTTGACGCCATCGTTGCCATCGTATCCACGTTACTTAAGGCGTTATGTTCTACATTCTTCCACAAGCCTTTGATAGCACGTATGCACCATTCTCACTGCGCAAGCCCCTAAAGTCTGGATTCTCAATTGGCATGATAGCTTAACTTGACACAGCAGATTCCCTTATCTCTATGCGGCATGTGCACAGAGTAAATCTCGTGGTCAAGCCTTTACTACATGGACCAAGTTTATGAGCAAACTTATCTATTAATAACCAACTAGAAATACCCACCACCGTTTCTATCGTTCTTCTATCCCTAATGCCAAGTATATGGCTTTCTATTGCGCGCCGACCCTTATATGTGATGGTTCCAATTAATCTGAATAGGCTCACTAAAAACGTCTTCTCTTTGTCCTTTCCTAATATCAAAAATATTAAATTTGTCCAGTTGTCTCCTTTTTGCTGATATTTCTATTTCATTATCTTCTCCTAGTTTGCTTAGGCAGTATGCAAAGTTTTCACCAATCCTTCCTTCTTCAAGTCTCCTGTTCATTAGGTTTCTTTCAGTTCTGATTTCAATGGCTTATCGTATCTTGAATTTTATTATATTTTCACCATATGCAAGATACACAAGCTACGAGAAGTCATTGACATCCTCACTAAAATAAACCTAATGAACAGGAGACTTGACGAAGACAGGATTAGCGAAACTTTTGCCTACAGCATAAGCAAACTCGGAGAAGGTCAGGAAACAATAATATCAACAAAAAGAAGACTACTAGACAAGGGTAATATTTTAGATTTTAAGGCAATAAATTACAAGGAGACAAGAGAGGAAATTATCATGCCTAATATGGACTCCGGACAAGATGGACTCCTCTAGGTCTTCCTGCCAATATGAGCAAGTTGCGAAAGCAAGGTTAAGCAAGCTCTATACAACACAATGAGAGCGTGACAATGCAAAAGGCCACACTATCCTGGTTCTCATATCTTCGATTAACTGTAATTAGCCTTATATAGAGTTCTCATAAAATTAATTTAATATTATTAGATGTATTCACCATATTTCGTTAAAGGTGATGAAGGACTGGTAATCGACTTTTCCCACAATAATATGAGTAAAACTAACGGTTCCATTGAATTTAACAGAGCCTTACTTTCTCAAAAGTTGTTTTCATCCAAGGTGGATCGCAGTTTCGACCTCGTATAGGTCTTTAAAACATTCCCATCGGGAGTCGAACCGTGACAGTGCTGTATGCGAACTCGACGCACTAAATACTCGGCTACATTACCACGAGTGTCCTTGTGTCATAGGGCGAGACTGAGTTTAAAGAGAACCATGCCTTTTCCCATATCACATTCTTTGGTGGTATTGTCGATGTAGCAAACGTGTTTTTGCTATAACAATAGACTACACTACATATTTTTCATATATAAGTAGAGTTTCGGGATCACCAGAAAATCAGCTATATGAGATATATTATTTGGTTTTACCATCACGATGTCCATAGGAAGGAAATGGTTTGAGGTTATCTGTGTGTATAGATGATTTTTAGATACTTTTAGTTACCCTAAACTAAATAAAAGCAATGAACTCAATATGAGAACAAAGTACATAATAATTGACTAATAAGGCCCAAGAATCAAATAATCCATGGCTTGAAACTGTGGTTAGAGCTTAATTTAATAAGCCGATTCAGCTTATTGAACTAGATTCATACGATGCGGATTGATAGGCTAAACAAGCTTAAAGTTGTAAATTTGAATTTTGCAAGCTTTATCTATAAAGAAATGAAAAGAAAAGTCCTTAGGAAGTGCGGAGAAGGAGAATCAGAGAAAGCATCAGTATATAATAATCGACGATATACAAACTTTAGCTACATGGAAAAAAGGAATAAATTACCATGTAAGAATATAGTATCTTAAGAATTAGTTTATATAAGATGACTAAAAACTCTTAGATTTTACCTTACAAATGAGGATTAATACTAGAGACTAACCCAGGCTTAACTGTAAATGTAAGGAAGCAATGTTTGGATATGACAATTAAATGAGTAAAATTTTCACACAAATTTTATTTTAAAAAAGTTTACTACATTATTTGCCTTAAAAATTGTAGACTAATACTAAGTTAAAGCAAAAGAAAAGGGTGTATGCTTATAGAATAGTCAGTTCTAGCATTAGGTAGTCGGAAATTTTAATGTGCTGAGAGTAATAACTTATGGGAAAGGCATTGTCCTGATTGAAATTTATATCTGCACTGTGATATAGCGTATTGTATAGTATAATGAGCTTATGCGCGGCACTTTCATGGTCCGAGTCGCGCTGAGGGTGCTTATAAGACCTATGCGAGGTCGAAATTGTAGTCCATCTTGGATGAGAATACCTTATTTGAGAACAGGGTGAAGTGAAATTCATTTGAAACGTAAGGTTTGCTCATAGCATTGTGGGTAAATTCAACTACCTGTCACCTTAGCACCCTAAACACAATTGGACAATGCACCTGATTTATATGATATAGTAGTAGTCTCGAAAACCTACTTATATCAGTACTATGCAACGTCACCAATTAAAGTGGCAGACACATATTTGTTTTATCAACAATCCCATTATAAATACAAATTGGAAGGGGACCAGCTTGCCTTTACTGGCACATTTGCTCTACTAGCAACTGGCCCTCGTGACCGTATAGCGTAGTGGAATGGCATCACCGTCACGATACTCACGACATGGTTTCAGATCCCGCTAAGAGTGCTGATGAGACCTAGGTAAGGTCGGAATTATGGTCGACCCTTGATGAAGTAGCTTTTGGAATAAAGACTAAGTGAATCGCATTGGCATCGTGAGGACTACTTATCTAATTGTGCAAAAATTAAAATCATCTTAAATAGCTTAAAGTGACTAAGTTCTTATTTATAATGTAGACTGACATATAGCTTAATATTCGAGCACTCAAGATGACAATGGATATGAAAATAAAAATTTCTGTGACTATTATTTGAAACTACCACCAATGATGGAATAAGAACATATTCAGCCTAGGCAACATAGGATGGTTTCAATTCCCAAGACCACTTTAAGTGACCTAGGCTGACTCAACTCTTACCTAGGAAATTAATTATTGAATAATATATTTACATATCTAAATGAGAATAGATGAGGAGATATTTTAGCCAAATGATATGCAAGTAAATATATGAAGCCAGTTGAGTCAGATAAAATAAATCATCCATTTAGTGGGAAGTGAAAAGAAAATGTTCAATGTGATACATGCTAGTGATCCCCAGGTCAACGTTTCACATAGCCGACAATCCTTTTAATAACACCGAAGCAGCATGACGTAGATAATTGTCCTCAAATAGAACTACTCTGAGCTAATTCGGATTACACACCATAGAGTTTTCATACAGAGCGAGCCTATATATTAAGTTCACATAAAATGGTTAAAGCCTATCAATGCAAATATTAGTGACGATATAATGCGACATTCGCACATCCGGTTATTTACTCTACGATAGTAAGAGCAACTAGTATAAAAAACGGCATAGTACATTTAGGGGCATATGAATTGAGAAACACATTGACTTGCTAAGCTTAGCCACTTTCGTTTTCTCAAATCATTAATGTTAAGGACTTAGATATACCATGCCTTTCATTATATATTTTAAACTATTTTTTAATAAAAAAAATCTTTTTAACATTAATACAACTAAATTTAAAACTTATTTTATAATTAATCTTTGTCTTCTCTAATGGTAATGTTTGAGCTGTCCCATAAGTGCGCATAGCTTGTCTTATCTATCCCTCTAGGATGAATCCTCTAACCAATATTAAGAATCAGAATCTTATGAATGAATATGAACTCTCTCTAGGATATACCAACAAAACTGGGAGCTGGCATAATCGATACAGAGACTCGGCTTGGATATATATTGGAGGCCTAAACTATGAACTTACAGAAGGCGACATTATCTGTGTTTTTTCACAATATGGCGAAATCGCAAATATAAACCTGGTTCGGGATGCTAAAACTGGAAAATCTAAAGGCTTCGCGTTCATTTGCTATGAAGACCAGAGAAGCACAGTTCTTTCTGTAGACAACTTCAATGGAATCATCATTGCTGGCCGTACTATTCGCGTTGACCACGTCGAACAGTATAGGGTACCCAAAGACTTACATAAAGTATCATTAGGTGCCGATCCTGTATCCAATTTTGTCAATGAAAAAGGTTGTGGCCCTGAAGTTATGAGGGATATTGTAAAACTGCAAAAGACACGAGATAAAGAGCTAAAATCACCAAAATCCCATTCACGATCTAATCGGGAGCATTATAATTCAGCTACTAAAGTCAAAAGAGATTATAAATCGAGGTCCAGAAGTCCTGTTGCTCAGAACCCTTCATATCTCGGAATGCGGAATCCCTCTCCCAAGAGCCCGTCGCGCACTGAAATCCATGTTAAGACTGAACCATTTGAAAACGATTTTGTTTCAGAATCACATAAATTCGCACATCGAAAATATGGGCGGTCTCCAGCAACGTGCCATACAAATATTCGCCAAAAACACGAACATTCTCCAAATCAGTATTCCTACAAAGGCTACCGTCACTGAAAATTTCCAGGACTAACGTCTCAGTTTGTATATATGTTTTTTTAAATCTCTTTATTCAAATGCAAAACTTCTTAAACAGTTTTTTACTTAAGTACCGTTCTGTAGTGTTTCTACTCTGACTACGCTCTTGTGCGCCGTCACTTTTTGATTGTAGATGCCAATCCTTCTGTCATTAAAATTATAGTCCGCAAAAATAACTATATACGTAAGGCATCGTGTTATTTATCCAAATTGCTGTGGCTAGCATTTCCGTTCAGCTTGTTTTTGTTCTAACGAGCAACTTGCAAATATTTGGGCATTGCTGAGGGGAACTTTCATTTCGTATGAAAGT